AGCGGAGCTCGGCCGGAGACGGGCACCTTCGCGCTTTGGTTATGCCACACGCGCCCGCGGAACTCAGCGGCGGAGCCACGTAGCAAATCAGATCGGAGAGAACTGAAGGCGAGAACTCCCAGCACGATTTCCTGCGTGTTACAGGTGAGCTCGTGTACAGGTTGGCTTCTGCACGGCTCTTTCATGTGTGAGCAGCCTTGAACTTCAGGTGGCTGCGGGTAAAAATTGCTTTAGCTGTAAATAGAAGTCACAGAAGCCTCGTCGCTCGCGGCTTCAGAAGAGTCGCATCCCACTGGTCCTCTCCAAGGGTAACTGAACCGCGTGTGCTTCCTACTCACTGTTAAGCATCCCATCGCATCTGAGCAAACCTTCAAGGAAAGGTCTCCTTTTGGAAGAAAGACTTCTCTTTGAAGAATGGCTGAGAGTGAAACATCTTTACAAGTCCTTACATTAAAACTCAGGAAGTGTCACGAACAAGCATCGAATGTGCCAGGTCCTCTTCCCCTCTGCATCCCCAGAAGCGAGACTCAGCAAGCTTTCCTTCGTAACCAGTAAGGAGTGGAAGTGGAGGGCTGGAAAATCAAAGCTGAATTGCGTGAGGGCGTATGAATTTCTCCTCCAGCCAACCTGAGAAATCGGAGCAAGGCCCTTACTTCTGTCAACACCAGCACGGTGAAAATTGAAGGGACAAAGCCACCATTTCCAATTGACCATTGCCATGGAAACAGCCTCCCAGTGTCAACAGTTGGTGGAGCGGGATGTAGGAAGTCAGCAGGGCGGTAGGACAAAAGACCCGCTCCTGCTGCGGTCAGTGCTCGTAGGCTTTTTAAAGCGCTTTGTGTTGGTCAGAGCGGCCAAGGGCAGGACTCTGACACAAGGGTTTGCAGTGGGCTGTCTGAGATACGTCAAGAGGGAGAGGCAAACAGAAACCTGATCTTGATTATTCCGAATATTCCAGCTATGTCAATCTGTCAACTTACCTGTTCCATGGAGGAGATGTTGTCGTTGTTACTGAAAAAACAAAAGACGAGCCCTTAGTTGTCAAAATGGGGTGAAGGAGCAGCCTGCAGGGTCTAGGCAATGGCTTCATTATGTAGTGTATGGATACATATGTTTAAGCTGTGTCATACCCATGCAATACAGAAGAGCAAGAGCTTTGGAGTAGAAACAGGAAGCGTAAAGTGGATGAAGTGGCAACGAGGAACGTCTAAGAGCATTCAGAAAGGGCGAAACAATCACATTTAAATAGATTCAGTCTACAGTGAAGGTGAGACAACAAGGCAGGCTTGGGGCGATGGGGAGGAGGAGGAGGATACCTATCTGCAAGACTGCAGACCTGTTAGTTGCGGAGGACTGAGTACCACCAGCAGCAGAGGAAGGCAGAAATAGCCAGGGTGTTGTAATAAACCTGGGAAAATCATATTTTTCTGCGTGCAAGTTTCCTTTGGCTTCTGAGCTGCCCTTTTGCTGGTAATCTGGATCGTTTATCATTTCTTTGCTCATGATGGTCAGACAAAGTGCTGACAGCGCTAATGAACACAGAGCTGCTGGGCCAGTACTGGGAGGTCATTTTGATTGTCTCTTCTTCACACGGAAAGAAAGAGAAGAAAGGTGTCAGCCCATTCTCACAAAAAGAGGTCGGAGGTGTTTCTGCTGGGAGCAGCATTAGCACTCCGAATTGCGAACCTTCCTCCAGCCTCACTTCTCTTCAAGGAACCAGTGAAATACCAGTAATTCCCTGCAGCCCCGCTGCCTCGGTGCTACAGGCGCTGTGCGTGGCAAGGAATACGCAGCTGCTGTGATGCAGCAGCTTTTAGACCGTTTGTGGTACCGCTGGAAAGGAAAGTTTTGGAGCAGTTCACAGCTTTTGTTACAAATTATAAGGAAATGCAGGAGGAGTCTGAACAGAAATCCAGATTAACATACTTCCCAGAATTTCTGTTAAGCTTCTATCTTTTTTCCTTGGTTTTTTTTTGTGTTCTTATGTTATGACTATGTTTAATCAAACATAGTTCTACAGTGGTTTCACTTTTTGAACCACTCAGAAACAAGAAGACCAATGTGTGTGTATATGCTTTTTATTAACCTTCCTTTCATAATGCACTTTGTTCCGTATAGAAACCTCCTTTCATGCTGATTCATTACATGTCAGGAAGCCAAGCGTGACATGTTAAAAGCCATCTTGATAGTATTTGGTATTCAGTACTAACAACTCACCAGCTCACAGGAGGTTTTTCTTTAAAAGGGGAAGGGAGAAAATCTGTGTATTGGATGTGCCAAGATAGTGGGTAATTTGCATTAGACATCCAGACACTCTTTTTTTGCAACTGTCACCCTTCACTGGCTTTTTATTTTATAACCTTCATAACACATGGGGAGCATAAGTGCTAAAAAAAGTCACACCACGTGGGCAGAAGCTGAAGCTGGAGCCGAAGCCCTTTAGGATCAGCTGGAGCAAGACTGGAGAAGGACCCTTCCTCAGCAGCAACAGATCCACGATGGGACTTTGTTATACTAAGGACCTGGAAATAATAGACATGGTACTATTTGTATCCAGTTATAAAGCTGTCCGTTATTTCTTAGCCTCCAGCTCACAGCTTGATTCAGACTTAAGAACTATCATCATGAATACACAAACCATGAGACATGATTCACTTACCAGACTTGCCCCCTGTAATATGCTGCTCATCACAGGATTTAGCAGCAGTAGGGAGCAAACTGACATACTGCTGTAAAACCGACATCCTACACCTAGCAGCACGTATCTGAGCTCACCGCTTTAGCTAAGTGCTTCTGAAGTAACTGGAAATAACTTAGTGCAAAGTTTCTCAGTAATAATTACAGTTCAGTAACTTTATATAGTATAGCTGAAAGCATTCCAAATATGGTACTGCATTTTAATCTCCCTGTCAATGGATTTCTTACAAAACTGCTGTTTGAACATCGCTTATTAGGCATAACATCACATGTGACAGAGTAACGTACCTAGAATAATAAAATGAATGTGAGTGGAGGTGCTGAAGCGGTAAGTGTATATAAACTTAAACTTAGACATAATAACACATGCTGAGTGTTACAAGGAAATTCAAAATTGTGAACGTACTAGAAAGCAAAATCTGTTGGGTACGATAACAATAAACGTGGTTGTCAAGCAAGCATAGAGGGACTCATTACTAAACTAACTGCAGCACTTTAAATAGTGAGGTGAGGCAAAATACTTGTAAACCTTATTTACAATATTTCTGCAAGTTATCCAGCCCAGGCAATATAAATACAAATTCTGTAATATAAAACTTGACTGAGGTGAGAGATGCTGTTAGGCAAAGAAACATCAGTGGGTGATGAGGCAATGGAGCAACAGGTGATTAAAAAAACAAGCAATAAAACTGCTTCACAGAGCAGATCCAGGAACTCTGTTCCACCGGCTGCTTATGACATACTAAATGAGCAGCATCAAAGAGGAGAACAGGAGATTCACGCCATATCCCGCCTCTTTGACAACAGTCATTAGCTGTCATGACTGTGCCCTCGTTTCCTTCCGATCTTCTCGCACGAAGCAGCTTACAGCTTGTTGCTCCCGAGCCTGCGGATCCTTCTGGCTGTACGGTGATTATCGGCCCCGTGCGCTCTTGCCAGCATTTCGCGGCCTCACGTCAAGAACCTTCACCACGCAGGGGTCTGTGTATTTAGAGCTAAATCCTACAAAGTTGAAGCCCATGGAACTTTTACCTTTGATTTGGTGTATTCTGGTTAAGGATTTTGGAATTCAACATGCTTTGCTAGAGTGTGACAAAGACACTCCGGGAAAGCAGCAGCTCTTTGGACCTGAGCTGCCAGGCATGGGGACATCTTGGAAATGATGTTGCTGCCAACTAGCACTCTGCAAAATCTGCAAGTGAGCTCTAGTGCACACAAAGGATAAATAAATAATATGCATGTATAAATCGCTTAGAGAGAGACATTAAAGGAGCCAGAAAATGCTTTGAGTCAGTTACTATAGACAAAATATTTCATAAATGGTATTTCCTTTGTAAGTCAGGTTGAGAATATCGCTGTTATGTGCAATTCTGCATCTAAAAAATTCTGAGAGGAAACCTTTATTCAAATAATTTATGTGCATGCAGTTTAGCATTCTTATTTAAATTTATATTTCCCCAAGGAAAGAGTTTTCAGTTTGCAAATCAGTTTGCAAAGTTTTCAGCAATTCAGTTTGCAACATGTTGTGCAACATCACCCTCCTGTCCCTTTTCCCAAATTACTAAAAAGTTGTCTAAGTCTGAGGAGGAACTCTTGCAGTGTCTGCTAGTGACTCCCAAAAAATGAGTCAGTCTTCAGAGCTTCCAGACAGGATCTGACTATGAAGACCTGGCAAAAGGTTTGTATTTGCTGTTATACTGGCGTATTTTTTGCTGCTGGTTTTGTTATAAAACTAACTAATTTTGGTTTCATATTGGACAGAAGAAGATTCTAAAATGCTCCTTGGAATTGTACTGTTTTACTTGAATGCAACACAAGTGGTTTGTAGCTTTTAGGTTTTTAATGAGGGTTACGTGCGCTATTCACGTAGTCCCTACAATCTCTCGGCTTGCTTAGAGAGCCACCGTTAACAGCAAACTGAAATAGAGAAAGGTGCTCTACTGAGGTTTTTTTCCTCTGTATGTATCTAAGCCAGGAATTGCTTTTGGAAGCCTATGGATACCAAGGAGCACAGAATAGCAACAGTAAAACCAAATTGTTTTACTTT